TTCTCTTCACTGTGTTCAATGATGATGATTCATCATTGCCGTGGTTTCCTCTCAATATAAATTTCCATGTGTGTGAGTGATCATGAATCATAGCACTAAATACACACGGCGAATGAGAACAACTCAAATTTGATTTTAGTTCACTCATAATCGCCAAAACTGCAGGAACCCATAAGACAAACCACATAGGTCATGCAAGAATGCATAATAGGTATGTGTGACCCCTTATACATTTCATTTGACACATGATCTTCATTAACTTTTTGCAAGAAATCTGCTTATTAGTTGAGTTATACATTTTATGAATAATCAGCAATAGAAATTTGCCAAAAGGTATAAGGAGATTTCTATCCGTGCATGATAAGCAAATGTTTTAATCAATTCTGGCACCACTGCAAAGAATGTTTACATTCGATTGTTATTTTGTTATTTTGAAGAAAAAAATCGAGAAAAAAAAACTGTCGTACCGTCCTGCCGGTAAAGAGAAACATTCTGGATCTGGAAAACCTCCAATCCGAAAAAAAACGAACCCGGTTAGGATCCACAAAAGCAGCAGCATAAGGAGGAACAGTTGCTAAAAAATATGAAGATGTCCTGCAAAAAACCAAGACATACCAGGAGACATACGGAACGGAACAGTTTCTAATTAATCGTGTTTTGTTGTTTTTGACATCATCCACATCCAGAGGGCCAGTCACTTTCGAATGTATGGGAATGGTAGGAAACCATTTGGAAATGCATGAAAATTTTCAGTTTTTATTCATTATCGTCTTTATGGGCAGTTTTAGATGCACAAAACTTGCACGAGTACATTACTATGGTGATAAGGTAAACACTCGTTTATTTGTTTCCTTCTGTGAAAGCATGTTTAGTCACAAATCGTGGATTTTCTGATATTCTCCATACTGCAAAAATGATTTTCCTACCACTGAAGGGGCGACATCTCTCGGATCTTCAGTATAGCTACTACTTGGAGTAATCCAATGGTAAAATCCATAAGCAAACGTCAGACTGTGCGTGCAACATGGCGGACTTCGTACTATCCTTTCACTCCACTAAAAATTCCCATAAGAAACTGTCAATCTTTGCTAAAAGAGACGATTTTTCGGTGGTGGCGTCAACGCCAATAGAACATAGAATATATCTAGACTAACATTTGAAAGGGGCGGAAGAGCCAAAATGCAAGCAAACCATATGTTGCCACACATAGAGAGAATAGTTCACAAACTACTCGATAAACATGAAAAAGTAGAAGAAAATATCACTTCAAATCATCAAAAACGTTTCTTCTTACAAGGCGTATTTCCAATTTTCAACTCTATGATGAATCTGGTTGTTACGCCTTGCACCAGAACTACGAATTATATCGTTTTAATATGCCAAATGTGTTGATTCTGTAGTATCTAGTCACGCCCGATTCATTTGAAATGCATCCGATTGATAGTTCACGTGTAAACAACGAACAAAAAGAAGACCAAAAAATCTCCGGGCGTAATTCCACTCTCACAAAATTTGCGAACGAAGAACAACAAACAAAAAATCCCGAGGGTGTACTTCCACGGCGTATCACCAGTGTTGGCAGTTCAAAGGGTTGAAGATCTGGGGGGTAACAATATGTATGAAATTATCAGGGCATATGATATGATTATCAGGGCATACAAATACTCATAAATGGGAAATATTTTTACTCATTTAATGGGTAGTCCCAGTTTTCCTCGAAAATGCTTACTTTGTAGTCATTATTGGGTATTTTGCGGTTACCGTGTATGTTTTGAGTGACAAGTTGAGTTGTTTCGATTGAGTGTATTTTAACCGGACATTGCATTAGGGTGTATTCAGATCTGAGCGATATTTCCAGCGCGGAGAGAGATTTTGCGAAGGTACGAGAGGGAGAAAAGTACTAGTGTCTCTCTCATTCTTACGCAAATTTTGCTCCGCTCCGCTAATGTACGCTTAGATCTGAATACACCTTTAAATTGGTATTCCGATTAAAGCCTGGTACGCAGCTGAAAAGAAAACGGAAAAGTAATTGGAAGATTGCCGCAAAAGCTCAATGCAGATGTCGCCACTGCATGATGATGATAATGTTGACAGACTGCATATAAAATTCGTGAAAATTAGCATTAAATCATAATTTTCATCAAGCCTGCGTGAAATCCTTCCAATATAACATTCGAATTGAAGAAGAAAACGTTTTTACGATCAGACTGATGTGCATATTTGACTTTTCCAGGTGAACTTTCATAAGTTATATTCATTTCATTTCACGGCTCCATCAATGCTGCATCGTAAATATGATGGTAAACAGTAGTAAATTGCTCAATTACTCAAAATAAAGATGATTTGTCATATTGTTATCACTTTGAAGACCATCTAGCACCATTTTATAGCATGGTGCATGTTGAGTAAATCAAGTTCCGGTGCGTTTTCCGTCGAAAATTGTGAGTATCAATATGATTGCTTAAAAAAGGCCAAAATGGTAATTTATTGAACATTGGCGTCCTATACAACCAATTTTCCATTACCACCAGCATGATACAACCTTTCCTATGTAAATTAACTTAATTTCCACTTTCATCTTAGTGGAAATCGCACATATTCACCATTTTCCGAAAAATGCAGCTGCGCAGGAGGTAACCTCTCGCTGTGGGTGCAAACTTGTTATGCATTATTTTCCATGAAAACCTCTCCGACCCATACCGAAATAATAACAATTAGTTTTCAAACACGTTTTCTTACACGATTCAAGCAAAAGTTTCCACGAGAAATTATTAGTTTTTCTTTATGGACCGATTTGCCCCAAAACTCGTCTTTTTTACTTGGAAAATTTGGAAACTATCCTCCTTCTAGTAGTTCTCACTTCGAAATGTAGGAGGCGAAAGCTTGGAAAAGTTTCACTGCAAGACGCCAATTTTTGAGGATTTTTCCCAAAAGTAAATTTGACAGCTATAGTCTGCTAAATTTTGAGATTATAGGGAGATGTGGTCAAATTGTAAAATCAACACTTATTAGTGTTTATGTTGTTTAAATGCATCCAAAACATCAGTTTTGCAATAAACGCCAACATTACCTAACGGAATAATTGATCAGACCATTATTCCGCAAGGAAAGTGAAATTGCATTCAGAATGCGCCACCTTCATGTCGATCACGATACTAATGTAATCGATCTTTCCTTTACCGATTTCTTTTGAACTGCGTAAGCCTGGTACGCAGCTGAAAAGAAAACGGAAAAGTATTTTTTGAGGAATATTCCCAAAAGTAAATTTGACAGCTATAGGGAGGTGTCTTTTGCTAAATTTTGAGATCATAGGTAGGTGTCACCTAATTTTAAAATCAACAATTATCAATTTTTATGTTGTTAAAATGCATCCAAAACATCATTTATACAACAAACGTTAAAATTACCTAACGGAATAATTGGTCAGACCATTATTCCGCAAGCAAAATGAAATTGCATTCAGAATGCGCCATCTTCATGTCGATCACGATACTAATGTAATCGATCTTTCCTTTGCCGATTTCTTTTGAACTGCGTACTGGGTCAAGAAATGCTAATTAAAAGAAATTTCTTTAGCATTCCGTGTCCTATTCCGTAGCACGTAAAAACGTCATTACTTTTCAGCTGCGTACCAGGCTGTACTGGGTCAAGAAATGCTGAGGAAAAGTAATTACTTTTGCATTCCGTGTCCTATCCCGTAGCACGTAAAAACGTCATTACTTTTCAGCTGCGTACCAGGCTGTACTGGGTCAAGAAATGCTGAGGAAAAGTAATTTCTTTTGCATTCCGTGTCCTATCCCGTAGCACGTAAAAACGTCATTACTTTTCAGCTGCGTACCAGGCTGTACTGGGTCAAGAAATGCTGAGGAAAAGTAATTTCTTTTGCATTCCGTGTCCTATTCCGTAGCACGTAAAAACGTCATTACTTTTCAGCTGCGTACCACCCGCATAAACGCGAACCATAAATTGACCTTACCTAAAATGGTTAAAAATTGTTTATAATCCCTGCTAAACTTTAACTGAAATGGTTATGGAACTTTACATGAACGTTTAATGATAAAGTTTCAACCTTATGTATTATGGTTTTTTGGAACTGGACCTTACAAATAATGGGTTGTTAAGAACCATTACCGTTCCAAATTCTTGTTTTCTCCATACATTTTCGGAAAGAGAACTATATTAGAACCTTTTAACTTATGGTCTGAGAACATTAATGGTAATGGTTATGGTAGTCAGTAAGGTCCACGAATGGTTTTGTAACATCGATCAACTTTATGTGGAATATATCGCGAATTGGTTGCCTGTAATTTACTGATTACCAATTCACGATATATTCCACGTAAAGTTGAGCGATAATACAAAACCATTAATGGACCTTACTGACTACCATAACCATTACCATTAATGTTCTCAAATCATAAGTAAAAACGTTCTTATATAGTTCTCTTTCTGAAAATGTATGGAGAAAACAAGAATTTGGAATGGTAATGGTTCTTAACAACCCATTATTTGTAAGGTCCAGTTCCAAAAAACCATAATACATAAGGTTGAAACTTTATCATTAAACGTTCATGTAAAGTTCCATAACCATTTCAGTTAAAGTTTAGCAGGGATTATAAACAATTTTTAACCATTTTAGGTAAGGTCAATTTATGGTTCGCGTTTATGCGGGCAGGCTTAACGATGATGAAAATGTGCCCTTTTCAGCCTGAAACAACAGCTTCCATTAATCATGATCATTGAAGTTTTTTAATCCAACGTTGCAGTTCCATTATTGTGCCCTAAGCAAGTCAAACTGGCATTTGTTTTCCTCCAGGATCCATGTTGATGTGTTAGTGAAGCATCTCTGTTGTAGCATAAGTCGATTCAAAACCCCATCAGACGACCGTCATCACCACATCGTCATCGTCATTGATCAACAACAAACGGATAATAATTGCAAGACCCGAGAAGAAAAAGAAGCACCGTTCGTTTCGTCGTCTGCTGATGTCGCCGCTCGCAGTCGCAGCGCTCTCTCCGTTTCGTTCGCACGCACTCAGTCAGTCAGTTGAATAGGAAAGCGAGTTTCGGATCGGTCGTTCGTTCGTCGCGCCGCGGCTACTGCTCTGTTGTTTGTGTAGTTGGTGTGCTGTGTGTAGCTGCCCTGCCCAACATTTTTATTAGAAAATAATTATCGGAAGAAAATCCGTGGCCTGGGACGATAGCGATTGCACGATTGCCGGATAACACCGTCGCGCGAATTGGAAGAAGTTGTGTTTTTGTGTAAGTTAGGATAAACCAGAAGAACGGGACCCGGATCCGGGTTCTGGATGCGTTTTTCATTCGACGACGGGGACAAATTCCTCGCCGAGAAGCAGCCAGAAGAGCGATGACCAAATCGTCAAGCACCAGACGGCGACGACGACGACGATTTGGACTTAGTTTGTGTGGAAGTGAGCGAGATAGCGCTAATTGGTGGTGCCGTGACAAGTGTACCGCGAACCGTGTGGGAGTGAGCGAGATGGGACGTCGCAAAATGGCGTTTGTGGAATTTGATGAATTTTTATGAGAATGTTTTATTTTCCCTAGCGGAACTGGACCCGGGAGGCGATGCGATTCCCGGGGTGATTTTTTCGGGTTCGGGACCGGCCCGGGGTAGGACCGGAAGAGATAAAGCTTGCAGATCGACGAATTTCGGTTCGCATTCCGGGAGAAATCCGAGCAGCTGCTTCCGTGGCAGGACCCAAATTTCTCTTTGCATTCGGACTTGATTTTCCTTTTTGCCGTTCGATACCGTTTTCGGGCGGAACTTTAAAACCCATCTTCATTATGTAAGCCATCCAACGGGAAGAATCCCCGACCCGACGTCTGGGGTGGAAGATAATTTGCCCCCCTATTCCTCTCGTTGCGGTCCGCCCTCCGACCCCCAGGGGTATGCAACATGCAATAACAACATTATCATCATTGCTCTCGCAGGCAGCCAAAGCCAGACAGATTCGGGCAAACTTTGGAAAGGTCACTCCCGGTCGGGATGCAGCAGCAGTTTAAATAGCTGTCAAAAATGTATCGATTTTCTTGTTTTCTTTTGCGGTTGTCTGCAAAATCAAAACGTTTCAGTCTGCGATGATGTCATGTTTTCGATTTTTCTGAAAAACAAATTTCCGAGGGTTAATTTTTGCAGATCAAGCTCAATCGAGAGGTGATATGGGTTGATTTTTTTTTTAATTTTTTTAATTCAATCACGTTATGCGAAAAAGAAAAAAAAAGATTTACCGTTATCTGCTCGCTGCAAGTCTCTGGAAAGACGACGCAGTGCTGATAACCAGTTTTGCTACTTTCTGGCAGGGCGGTCGCAATAAGATAACAGAAACTGGTGCTCCTGAAAACAGTAATATGCAGAAAGGTCCGTCGTCGATGCTGTCGATTTTTGTTTGCTTGCAGATTTGCTTGGGCTTCATCAAAGGCAGTTTCAAGATAGTATAGGATCAAGCATTCATATTGACGAGGAAAATGAATGAAAAATCGTGATCCGAGAGAGTCATCAAACGAATTTTCGGAATGGTTGTCACTGAACGAGAACCGAAAATCACTGTTACCAAACTGTAAACGCTTCTGGAAGCCGCATGCTGTCTCTATGGAGAGTTTCCTATACAGTATCATGGAAGTCAATTCCACCCCATCCATCCATTGGTATCCCTTGAAAATTACCTTCGAATTCATTTAAGAACTCTCCTTTAAATTTTCCTGAAAATCACCCAATTCATAAGGAACGAATTGTCAAGAAATATCGCAAAGAATTTTCATCAAAATTTCCTTGGATTCCTCTCAAGATTCCCTCGAAATTATCCTTAGATTGCCTTGCAACTTTGATTGAACATTTCCTTTGAATTTCCATGAAACTAGTTACCTTCTTTGGTATTCTAATTATCAAGAATTTCATCTTTACTGGAAAACCTGGAATTCTCAGGAAGTTTTATAATTACTCAGAGCATTTCCAAGCCAATTCTTAAGAAAATAATTTATTAAAGAACGCCAAACAATCGTCTTGCAAAATTGTCAAGGCTCAGGCTCATGGACTTAGATGAACAATTTCTAGGCAATTCGGAGGAGAGTTCGAAGGGAGCTCTCAAAAGTAATACAAGAACAACTTCAAGGTGGTTCTGAGGAACTTCAGATTCCCGGTAAAATAAGGAGAATTCAATGAAAATTTTAATCGGAAAGCATAGGACATTCTGAGGTTAATTTCTAAGGAGCTGTCCATATACCACGTGGGAATTCTCGCGTCACATTTTAAAAGGGTCTATGCCCAACATGTAAACCGCCACTACTGAATAAATATTTAAGGAAATTGAAGTTTGTTAGGCATTTATATTGTTCACAATAGTTGGAGGCGAACCAGCCTAAGGCTGAAAGCCTCCTAAATAAAGCTAAATTAATTAATTAATTGTTCACAATAACAATAGTAACTGTACCTCAGTACACAATATTCAAAATATGCGAAAAGTTTTCAAAAATACATGAAAATCGAAAGCCATTTAATTTTATCAACTAATCAGCAATGTTGTGAATCTTTCAATGGTTAGGGCCTTTTTGTTAAGCCGTTGTGCTTATTAGCAGGCAGCTATTAACGGGCAGTAAAACGAACTGATCTGTTCAAGAGTGCGAAAACTAATCGCCTTGACACCAGTCCCGAAGTGGCGTTTCTTCACACACATTTTGACAGTTCCTTATGGGGTTTTCCGTTGGAGCGAGAGAATAAGAAAAAGTCCGCCATGTTTCACACATAGACTGACAGTTACATATGAGATTTCTCCATAGGAGTAAAGAGTTACAGAGCTGTCGTCAACGCAAAATGACATATATTTTTTATCTATCTACATACAGCCTACTGTGATCGAATGATAGGTTTAGCTTCAATCAGGGGTTGCTTGTACTCCTTCACTCCTCCTCAAGCTGTATCGATCGAAGTCCCATCTCCTTCCGGCAGGTCTCTAGCTTCACTCTCGCCAGCGCCTTGGTCAAGGCGTCGGCGATCATGGACTCGGTAGGGCAGTATACAACCTGGATTACGTTGTTGCTTACCAAGTCTCGGATGAAGTTGAACCGCGTGTCGATGTGCTTGGTTCTTCGACTTCCTCCTTCACCTCGCAGCATTGCTATGCAGCTCTGATTATCTTCGCGGACAACGATCGGCGACCTGGTCACTCCTGTTATTTTTCGCTGTCATTTCAATTCAAGAGCTCGATGTGAGCAATTCAAGTTTGCTTTAATAAAACATTCATTTGTTCGTTAAGTCTCGGCCTGTTCATTATTGCCCCGCCCCGTCCACGTAGTTCAAAGACGTTGTTTTCATCGTGCTGTATGTCGATGATCTCCTGATAGCAGGTATGCAGCTGACCACCATATTGAAGCTGAAACGCGAACTGTCGGCGATGTTTGAAATGGCCGATTGTGGAGAGTTGACTCACTTCTTGGGATGCAGATACGGTACGATCAACAAAATGGTAGAATGATGCTGTCTCAAGCAACCAACCTGGAAAAGATCTTGCAGAAGTTCTGCATGGCGGAGTGAAATGTTACAAGGACGCCAGTGGAGAAAGGATTGAAATTGGATCGTCAAGTGGCCGAAGGCGTTCAAGAACCGTACTGTGAATTATTGGGAAGCTTTCCTATCGGATATCTGGGAAGATTCCAACAACAACATTGGACAGCTCTGAAATGGGTTGTACGATACTTAAAAAGGATCGATGGAGTGTTGCTTGACGTTTACTCGAGACAATCAAGCGGCGCCACTCATCGGGTTTGCTGATTCAGACTGGGCCACCGATACTGACGACCGAAAATCAGTAAGCGGATTTGTTTTCCGTGTTTTCGGATGCACTGTTGCGTGGTCAAGCAAGAAGCAAACAACAGTTGCAACTTCTTCAAGCGAAGCTGAATATGTAGCGTTGAGTGCTGCAGCATTGGAAGCAATATGGCTAGTCGGTGTTCTAGGCGATCTCGGTGAGCTAAACATTGAATCAATCACCATATACGAGGACAACCGTGGATGCATTGGTATGGCCAAGAACTTGGAGAGTAAGAGAGCCAAACACATCGACATTTAAACACCATTTTCTTCGTGATCATGTTGCTGCTGGTAAGCTATTGGTGGAGCCGATTGCCAGCAACAACCAGTTGGCTGACTTCTTAACTAAATCGTTGGACGTCAGACGATTTGAGGAACTTCGGACGATGCTGGGACTATCCAAGCGAGAGGGGGTGAAATCAAAGAAGTCGTTGAAACCTGGTCACTCCTGTTATTTTTCGCTGTCATTCCAATTCAAGAGCTCGATGTGAGCAATTCAAGTTTGCTTTAATAAAACATTATTTTGTTCGTTAAGTCTCGGCCTGTTCATTATTGCCCCGTCCTGTTCACGTAGTTCCTTCAATTAGCTTCTGCAACCAGAGTAACTCCCGGCAGGCCTCGGCTAGGGCAACGTATTCCGCCTCGGTAGACGAAAGGGTTACACACTGTTGCTTCCGAGCAGCCCAGATGGAGAACAAAGCCCGAGTTTGATTTGCGGTCTCGATGATCTCCGGCCCAGTCAGCATCCACGTATGCTTGCAGTTGGCCAGGTCCACCGAGCTCCAGCTTCAAATCCGCAGTCGATATCAGGTACCGCAGAGTCCGCTTGCAGCAAAGCACCCACTGAGCACTGGAAATCGTCCTTCCGTGACATTGGTTTCTCCTGGGTCCATTGGTTTGACGTCTGCTTGTCCATATCTTGCAGCGATTCTACGGATATACGAGGCTTGATCCAGCAAGGTAGGAATACCAAGGTAGTTGCTGACATCTCCGGGGGTGGTTATCTTGAAGTGTTTCTTCAGTGTTGCTTCGACTCTTCTGTACTCCGCTTCATCCTGGCAAGCTATAAGCATGTCGTCTGCGTAAAGCAGTACAAATGACGAACGACCGTGCTTCGTCCTGACGAACAGACAAGGTGATTCGCTGATTCCATACTCGTTCTGCCTGCTTCAGCCCGTACAAACTTTTTCGCAGCAGGCACACGTCGTTCTTCGTACCGGTCGAGAATCTAGGCGGCTGCCTCATGTAGATGGTTTCGGCTAGGTCCCCGTACAGGTAGACCGATTGTACGTCCACATGTTTCACGAGTAGCTTCCTCCTGGCGGCAATCGACAGCAGCGTGCGAAAGGTAGTCTGCTTCGCGACGGGGGCAAAAACCTCGTCATAATCGGTACCGTATCGTTGGCTGAATCCTTGTGCGACAAGTCTTGCCTTG